TACACAGATTCTGCATGGCTTCATTAAATTTTACATACACAAAATATAAAGAGCATTGCATGAAAAAATTAGATTAATATGTGCTACTGTAGTTACTGTAAGTCTGTTGTGGGATCATCCAATGGTAGCTATCAGATATTTTGTTTTAGTGGGATTTTTTGGGGGGATTTTAGAGAAAGAAAAAGCACTTTGTGTGTTTAAAAATGGCTTAGAACCAGCTCAAAGTGAATCAAGTGACAGCCTTTACACATTGTCTTAAATGATTCAGAAATGAGAAAAACAAGCAATATATATATATATATATATATATATATATATATATATATATATATATATATATAGATATATAGATATAGATATAAAGATATATATATAGATATATATATATAGATATAGATATATATATAGATATATATATATAGGCAATATATTACTACAATAATAAAAGTCACTTTTTCTAACTTTCTAACATCAAAATTGAGTTTGAGAAAATATCAAGATCCAATATATATCAAGAATTTAATTTAAAAGCATATATAACTTCCTAAGATTCCTGAAAGACCACAGTGACAGACGAGTCTTCGCATTGATCCCATGGGCCAGCTTGAACACCCGCCGGTGACCTACTCATACCCGCAGCTTCTCCACGATGGACGTCCAGTGTTCTCCAGCCTCCAGCACCTAGACTACAGCTCTGCACAGCAGGTTTGGCTAGAGGAGAAATGGTTGTGCCTAGTTTCATCAATTTGTGAAGTCCTCTCTACTGGCTTGCTTGGTTTGAGACCAATGCTGCGCATCAATAGATTTGCTCTTCAGTGTTTAGACTTTCAGCACTGAAACTAAACTAAACTAGAACTAAACTAAACTGAACCTCAACTCTGCAAACTGGACTGACAGAGTTTGATGTACTAGAACGTCTATGTTAAGCTGCTTTGGCACAATCTACATTGTAAAAGCACTAGAGAAATAAACATGAATTGAATAACTGAAGTAACCCATGAATCACAAAATAAGAAAAATTGTTAATTTACAGATATTTTTTAAAAGATTAGTATAAATATAAATAAAAAAAAACCAATAGGTAAGGCACTCATTAACTGTACAAAAATTAATACACACAAACAAAAACCTGCCACATTTGCAATTTAAATAATTATTGATTTTATCTTAATAACCTTTTTATTTAAACAATAAAATCACTAAATCACTAAACAATAAAACAATAAATCACTAATTTGGCAAACAAATCAGCACCTCCAATGCCTGAACAATCAGATAAATAACAAGTCAGCTCCTCCAATGCCTGAAAAATCAGATAAATAACAAATCAGCACCTTTTACACTGGTCCACACAATCCCTTCATCTTGTCTCAAAGCAATGGTTTTTACAATTTTAAGTGGATCGAACATAAATAAATAATTTGGCCCTAAAAAACTTAAGAACTGTGTTGTTTCAGCTCATTTTAAATAAGTAGTTTGAACAAGCAGCAAACATATTTTTAGTGTATGCCTGCAAAATCAGTTAAATGACAAAACAGCATATTCAATACTTAAATGGACTACAGGATTTTATTTTATAAACTAGAAATCTAGCAATGACAGCAGAAGCAAACACATTCCCAGTGCCAATGCTTCAGCTCCTACCTCCTCTCAGTCTCAAGGACCATCATCTAACCCGACGACATTTAGAAATCAATCTCTGGCAAAACATCAACACTACAGCGATATGTGATGCCAGCCTTTCTGAATATGTGATGCCAGCCTTCCAGACTCACTTTGCGTGACAGAAGCTGAGCTCAAATGGTGCTTGCCTGTGCTAAATAAATGAAAAGCAGCAAAAGGAGCCCGAATTGCAGCACTAGGGGAGGCGATATCAATCCAGATGAAAGATCAGAGCCCTCGCTGGGGCGACTCAGGGAAAAACAGGGCAAGAGCTGCCAGATGAAGACAGAGAACAGGACACTTGACAAGACCTCTCTGTGGGAGAGGAGGGATTTAGGACAGGTACGGTGTAAAAAGTGCAATGTTCTCAGTGGGCTAGAGCTACTCTAAATCCATGATCCGCATCCGGAGGGCAGGGAATAGAAACACCGCTGTGTTACTGGAGGATTTGTTGGGGGGGAAGAGCGATGGATTGAAGTTGATGGCAGGAAAAATGTCCCGACAGAGCAGTTTTCCAGAGGTAACAGACAGGTCATGTTCGCAAGTCGTTTTATGGCTGGACTCGAAGCTTAATATGTCAATAATCACTGATGTCCTGTTTAAATGGACGACTGGAAATCTCAGATGGATTCTCGTCCATCTTATATTGAGTGGCAGCTGGATTTCACTCCTGTTCAAGGCCAAAGCCTTTATAATCCTTATTGGCAATTAGAAGAAGTCATAAAACACTTCTGTTTTCCATTTCTGACCACATAAGTCCTTCTTCACTAGTTTAGCACATCCCAGTGGGCACCTTGATGTCAAACTGGCATCAAAGAACACGTCAAAAATGCAAATCGATTTGATTTCAAAATCTTAATGTCCATTTGACATCCACACATTGATGGCCTTATGACCACCAAATTTAATGAAGGTTTCATTCATTTGAAAAATTCAATTACAGATTACGAATTTACACTGGATTTTGTATCCCAATACATAGCTTGATGTCAAAGCAACATCAAATTGAGATCTTATGTTGGTGTCAAAAACAGGTCAAAAATGGGTTACATGGCAGTCCTGTATTTGAATTTTGGTAGTGTTTTTTGATGCCAATGTAAAATGTCAATTTTATGTCATTTTAATGTCAAGGTAGTCAATTGATTTCAAATTGATTTAACATGTTTTTTTAATGTTGTTTTAACATTAAGGTGCCCACTGGGACATTACACAGTAAATCTGAAGTAATCACTAGTCACTACTTTCAAATGAATTGAGAGAGTCCACTAGTATTCATATTTTAAAAAGCATGCTAAGACATACCTTTTTAAGCATCTATAACTTTTTTTTTTTTCATTTTGAGCATTATAAACATTAGATGATGGATAACAAAGCCCAGAGTGTCTTCTTTCCAAAGACACATGAACTGTGAATCCAAAATCATTCAGCTAATGTAAATGTTTTAGTATGGGAAGATGATTTTTGAGAAAGTGCCTCTGACGGTGAGTGAGAGGACATCGACATAGCCTCAGAAACAGAAAACTTTTTACAGAAATCTCATTTTGCATGCTAAAATTGAGTGCTGGCTAACAGGTTAAAGTTGGTGTATGAGGATAATGTTTTGTTAAGTGTGTTTATATTTTCTTGTTTTTAAACTTATTGTAATATATACTTGCTTATATTTGCTTGTACTTATTTTTTGCTCGTACTTTGTACTCTATTTTGTTGATGTTTTTTGTATTTGTTTTATGGGTGTGCAGCACTTTAAAGCCTGCTGGAAATTTTAAATTACAATGTTTATTTTCCGAGCTCAAATTGTTATTCTTAAGGTGAATAAGTAAACCATGCACTTTAATGCACTGAAAAAAAAACTGTTTGTTTTGGTAATTTTTAATGAAAGTCTGACCATTTGCTTCCTCTTTTGGAGTGGCAGTCCTTCTGTTGACATCAACAAGAGAGCTTCCATAGCAACTGCATAATAACACCCTCTCCTAGTTTGCATTTTAGGTAATGATGCACAAAAGAAAGCCCCGCCTCCTACTTAATATTCCATTCCAGTTGGAAGTACATCAACATGATTTAAACAATCTCAGCAACTACACGTGGATTTTAAGTTGCATTTTATGTATGAAAATACCTATTCAAATAACATTATTATAATAATGTATTGATATGATAAAACATATACTTTGTTGCATTATTTTTTAAGTTTTTTTGTTATTGTTAGATAAAAAATACAACTGAACTATAGTTATTTTAGTTGCCTCCAACAACTAGATCATGCATGTTCATTGCCACATTATATAATGTATTATTGAATATCAGCACACGTCTATATTTAGCACATCAATACTGTAACCTCAACAGGAATCAGAGAACCGTGAACATGCTCAATCAACCACAAAATATCATACAAATGGCTTTTCAGTAAATAAAACATCGTTTTGTAAAACCGCTCATTGCTATAAGAGCTGTTGGCAGGATGCGCAATCGTCAAGTTCATTTCCAGGCTAAGTAAGTCAGTACTATGCTGTGCCCGAGGCTTTGCCGTTATTTTGATATGTCCCATAGAGAAAAGCGCTACTTTAAAAACCAGAACTGGAGAGATGTTTACATCTTTATCTCATCATATGAAAGCGCAAAGGTGTGCAAGTCTTGAGTTTAGAGCTTTAGGAGGATGTTTACATTTCCTTATCTTACTTGACAGAAGAAGTTTGCCTTTGAGTGTGCATTCTGGATCTATCTAACTGTATATACACTGACATTTATAAAAAATGATTAGCAGAGTGCTTTACTAGAAAACACTAATTCACTTTGTACTTCCAATCTGACTCTGATTAATATATCTAGCCATCTATCTGTTCAGAAAATTATGCATAAAAACAACAATAAGATTATAAATGATATGAAGTTGTTGTACTTAATATTCTCAAATTTTTTACAGTTACTTTCCATTTTGTAATCGCTTGGGAAATTCACTAGGAATTATCTGTCTGTCTATCTATCTATCTGTGTGTGTCTATGAAATTAATATGAAAGTGCTATGCTAAGTGTCAAGTATATTACAGCAAAATTTAACTATATAAACTGAACTATAAAGGTTATAAACGTGTCTATAATATGCTAACACAAATAAAAGCCTACACGTTAAAAAGTCAATGCACAAGAAACAATCCCATTAAACTTAACCTCTCAGCGTCATCTATCACCATCACATCAATCCTCGTAATGAAGTTAAAGCAGCCAAAAAGCAAAACAGGACAACATGGAAAAACCCATTCGCGTCAGAGCACCCTCGCACGTGTATATTTTTTTCCATAACAAGTCACAAAAACCATAATCCGGTCATAAACACTCACCTTCGAGAAAGACAGGTAGAGTGTGCCCTCCTACAGCCCTCAGCGCCCGTTCTCCTCTACAGCAGACCCGCTGACTGAACGCAGCGCTCCGACGCGGTGTTTTGAACCAAGCATCTTTCTCGTGCTCACTTCTCTCTCTCTCTTTTTCTCTCTCTTTCTGTTTTCCTCCGTCTCTCATCCGGGATGCGGCAGTTGCTGTGTGGTACCCGTTAACACCGCCCTCTGCCGGACGCCGCGGTGAACGGTAATCACGGCGTCAGCAAGCGGCTGCTGTCATCACAACAGGAACGACAATGATGTGAACAAAAATGGGCTACAGCTTGAAGCTACAACGTGTTTTAAATGTGTTTTAAGGCAAAACCCTGCAGTTGGTCTTGCTGCAGCCAAAAAAAGTTGTGTGTGTACCTGTGACGGGTGTCTAAACTCAGTCTTAAGGGCTGGTGTCCTGCAGATTTATAAGCTCCAATTTACCTGCAAGAATGCTTCTACAAAGCCTAGTAAGAGCTTGATTAGCTGGTTCAGGTGTGTCTGATTGGGGTTGGAACTAAACTTTCCACTTTCCAGGACTGAGTTTGGACACCCCTGGGCTATGAGATGGGCTTTAACATATTGTGCTTTTCTTTCTTTTAAAGATACAAGTTTCTTTCAGATTCTTGCAAGTTTGTAAAAAGGATGAGTAAATAATGGCATAATTTAAATTTTCTATCCCACAAACTATCCCAAAAAAGGACATTAAAAATACACTTAAGTTCACCTAAAAACTGTAATTTACTCACAATTTACTCATCCTCATGTGGTTTTTAAACATTCACGAGTGTCTTTCACAAAAGAAGATAATTTAAAGAAATCCGAAAACCTGTAACCATTGACTTGCATAGTAGGAAAAACAAACACAGTGGTTGTCCCAAAGTCAAAGATTACAGGTTTCCAGCTTTCCTCAAAATATCTTCTTTTATGTTTAACAGAAGAGAAGAAACTCAAACAGGTTTGGACCAGGTGAAGGGAGAGTAAATAACCGAAGAATAATTTGTTTGTGGGTTAACTAGAGCAATGATGCCCAAACTAGGGCCCGCAGGTCAAAGTTGGCCCATGGTAATCTTTGGTTTGGCCCACCATCCCATCTGAGAAGAGAAGGAGAATGATGGGGATGGTTTAGAGATAGTCAATTTAAATTTAATGTAACAATTTTTTTGTTTTATTGTTGAAATCCAACTGGAATTGAATTTTTCAACTAAATTGTGTAAATTAATCAGGCAGTATATTGTCATTCGACAATGCAGAGAGTTTGGTGAGCAAATCAAGGCAAAGGCAGATTCTGCTTGACTAGTGTATTCAGTATTGAACTCCACTGTGTTATACTTGTTATAAATTTTCTTTTTGGCTTAGTCCCTTTATAAATCAGGGTTCACCACAGCGGAATGAACTGCCAACTTATCCAGCATATTTTACGCAGCGGATGCCCTTCCAACTGCAACCCATCACTGGGAAACACTCATACTCTCTTATTCACATACATACACCACGGACAACTTAGCTTACCCAATTCGCCTATAGCACATGTGTTTGGACTGTGGAGGATATGGGAGCACCCACACTAACACGCGGAGAACATACCAATTTCCAACATACAGAAATGCCAACTGGCCCAGTCAGTGCTCAAACCAGCGACCTACTTGCTGTGAGGTGACAGCGCTACTGTGCCATCGTGCAGCCCCCAAATGTGATTGTTTATGATATTATTGCAATGAGTTGTTATTTTAAAAGTTATACTACATTACTTGATATGATTTAAAGTAATGCTTTCTGTTTATTTAAAAATATTAGGAAATTACCTATGGTAACTTTAACGGAATCTCATTTGGTATGTTTACCTTTGGCCCACAGCTCTTAGTGATGTTTGGTTTTTGGCTCTTCATACAAAAACTTTGGTCACCCCTGCTTTAGAGTTACAATGGACAAAGCTAAAAAGTCAGCATGTTAACAATTCAATTCAATTCAATTTATTTACTTATAGCAGTGGTTCTCAAACTTTTTTCACCAAGTACCACCTCAGAAAAAATTGTCTCTCCAAGTACCACTATAATGACTGGTATTGAAATACATAGTGGGCCCAATTAAGCGGCGACAGCTTACTACAAAACTACAGATGAAAACTTATTATTATGAATATTTGTTATTGTCAGACATGTCAGACACTTTAAGCATAATAAATAGTTTGAACAATAACACACAGGTAAAAAATAAATAAATAAAATGTCAACGTTTAAATTAAAATGTGATTTTAAAAGTTAATTAAAAATGGCACAATTCTTAAAAAGTTCAAAGAAAACTACTGTACTTAAATATAAAGTATTATCATAAATAATAATATATGGCCATCCTAGATGGGCCCCACGTGGGACATCCCAGGTGGGGCCCACGCAGGCCAGCCCAGGTGGACCCCACACAGACGAGCCCAAGTACAAGGTCCTGTGGGTTTTTACTAGTTATGTGTTGCCTACTATTGATGGCTTGTTAAAGCCAATAAATCCTAATAAAATATGTCTAAAAACATTCAAATGTACTGGTTTCAGTGGTAAAAATTTGATGTTTTATAAAGTTTTTAATATTATTTGTATTTAAAAATGCTGTGATTCTTTCTGCTATTTATTCATTCTGGTCTGCTGTTTTATTAATGCTTCCACTATGCAAAAAAAAAAAAAAATCCATCACAATGCGCAAAACATCTGACCTATTTTAATGACAGATATAACAATATCACAGTATGAACACTTGGAACCTTTAATTCCATTTCACTACATTTTGATAAATTACCAAATGACCCAGTAAGTCAAAATGATAGCTTAAAATGTAAAAAAATTAAACTAAAAGATCATAATTATGAGATATACAGAAGTATAACTTTAAAATGATAACTTTGTCCTAGTAAATTTTGACTCATTGTCTCATAATTATGACTTTATGCATGTTTTTTTCATATTGGTTGGAAATGGGCTCCCAGGTGGGAGGTGGGCCCCACGCGGGCCATCCCAGGTGGGCCAAACGCGGGCTATCTCAGGTGGGCCCCATGCGAGCCAGCCCAGATGGGGCCGACGAGGGCCAGCCCAGGTGGACCCCACGCGTGCCAGCCCAAGTACAAGGTCCTGTGGGTTTTTACTAGTTATGTGTTGCCTACTATTGATGGCTTGTTAAAGCCAATAAATCCTAATAAAATATGTCTAAAAACATTCAAATGTACTGGTTTCAGTGGTTAAATTTGATGTTTTATAAAGTTTTTAATATTATTTGTATTTAAAAATGCTGTGATTCTTTCTGCTATTTTTTCATTGTGGTCTGCTGTTTTATTAATGCTTCCACTATATGCAAAACATAGTCCATCACAATGTGCAAAACATCTGACCTATTTTAATGACAGATATAACAATATCACAGTATAAACATTAGGAACCTTTAATTCCATTTTGATAGCTCTGATGCAAAACAACAGAAGACGTAAATTTTGACTCATTGTCTCATAATTACGCATGTTTTTTCATATTGGTTGGAAATGGGCTCCCAGGTGGGAGGCGGAAGGAATATATATATTGCTACGCATCGATGAATTTGCTCTTCAGTGTTGAACTCTCAGTAATGATTTTAAATCACACTGAACTGAGCTGAACTGAACTGAACTTAAACACTAAAAACTGAACTACACTGTTCCAGTTACTATGACCATTTATGTGAAGCTGCTTTGACACAATCTACATTGTAAAAGCGCTATACAAATAAAGCTAAATTGAATTGAATTGAATTGAATATATTAGCCCTACGCTAATGGATCCCCACATGGGCATTCCCAGATGGGTCCCCACATGGGCCATAGGTTGTGAAGCCGGCGTAACAGCATTTTATGCGGAGGTGTCGGCACATAGTGAGTTTTGCAAGTTGACAAAACAAAGTTTAAATAATATGATGGTGATCTTATTTACACTAAGCATGCCTCCTGATAGATTTTATTTGCTTGAAGCTAAAAAGAGAGATGATGAGTCAGGGAGGACAGACTTAATAAACCTAATTCTCGGCCATGAGTCTGGTCTATGACAACACACAACAGATAATTCTATGAAACATGTTTTTTTGTATAGAATTGCGTATAGTATTGACATAATTATAGGCAGCGGTTAACTTAACCAATAAGCAAGGTAAGCAGCTGTTTAGCTCTTTTATAAATCTTCTATTGTATGTTGAAAAATCTGTCTATAACTGTTAAGATCTTAATGCTATTACATTTTTTTTTTTTTTTTAACCGGAGACCCCCATGAATAATGGAATGTTCCTTCCATACTAATATAGTACACTCTCAGAAATAAAGGTATGCAAGCTGTCACTAGGGTGGTAGCTTTTCAAATGGTACCCATTTGGACCTACAATGTCTATATTAATACCTCAAGGGTACATATTAGTACCTAAAAAGTACAAATATGTTCCTCTTAAAATGTTTAGGTTCTAATACTTTTGAGTATACCAATTTGGACCCTTTAAGTACAAATGCATCCTGAATCCAAAAAGGTAACAGGAATAACAGTAACAGATTTGACCATTTCAACTGAATTGGTTAATGGCAAGCTAATATGTTTAGTCACTAAACATGTTGCACATTTTAAAAGGAAATACATGTAAATTTTATTGTGTAAATATTAATTATATTAAGTTAAATTACATCATTTTTATACTCTTTAAAATGGCAACATAGTTGACATTCAATGAAATCGAGAATCAGTTCATAAATTTGCCTGCAGTATTTTGATGTAAAGAATTGTTATGTTGTGTATGTTTTTATAATATTTCCATTTTGTCAATTTTTAAGCAAGTTTGCTAAAACACTTAAACAAATGCATTTGGTTGTCCAATGTAATTGTGATGTACATGTCAAATAAATAAATAAATAAATAAATAAATAAAATGGTCAAAAATAAAAGGGTCTAGGAGAGGGAGAGGAACTTACTTGTGTTTTAAGTTATTATATCTTGCTTGAGAGACAATGCAGCTTCCTGGAAGTGATGTCACTGGAATGTACCATTATTTCACAGGTAACACCATTTGCAAAATCAGGGGAAATTGATCAAATTATTTGTATTGTT